GTTGCTTTGCGTGATCCCTCATTGCATTGAGTTCACTTTACAGCCACTCTGGTGTTGCTTGCATCGTTAGTGACTATGAGCTCATTTGAGAGTATTGATTAGGGCTTAGATCATTAGAGTGATTGAGAGTAGGGATAAGGTCTGTGCCACAGGCCTGGGTTTGCATCCCCGCTCGGACACCTGTTATCTGTGCACCCCTGGGTGAGTCTGCTCAGCCTCTCTGAGCCCTCTGCTTTAGTCTATAGGGGTCTGACACTGTGAACCCTCAAAGGCCCAGAGCCAGGAGCCAGGAGCCAGGAATTAGTATCTGTAACATGCTCAGCACAGTTCCTGCTCTGCAGCAATCCATCAGGACATGGGCAACTCTTCCTGTTTCTGTAGCTGTCTGATCCAGGATTTATTTACTTTTGATTGGTGCCATTGCAGACTACTACACACGGACTGGAGCAAAGCAGTAGGCCTGCTTTACTTCCTAGTTCTGCCATGGCTCTGGGGGCCAGAGGCAGTGTAAGCAGGGCTGCATTTGTTTCTGAGGTCACCTGGATTCTCAGGCTGCAGTCTTCTTCCTTGTCTCTAAGACTAGTACCAGGTCCTTCTCACCTGATATCACTCTGACCTGTCTTCTGCCTCCCTCTTCCCCTTTAAGAGCCTTGTGATCTTAGGCGTCCAGGCTGGGTAAGCCAGGACAGTCTCCCTATTTCAGGGTCAGATGAGAAGCCACCCCAGCTCCCCCTTGCCATATGATGGGTTTTGGAGGCATTTGGGAGTGGTTGTTGTATCTTCCATAGGCTTAGCATGGAGGGCAAGGGGAGGCATCTCTTCTCCCTTGGGAACTCACTAAACCAGCAGTGCCCAGTCCTAAGAAAAACCTGCCAAAGGGACCTACCACTTGGTCAGGGCTCTGCATCCATTCTGTCTGCAGGCTGGGGGCCTCCATCCTGGATTAAACCCTTCCTCAGATTGGGCCTGAATCCATGAATGCGCTGCTCCGTGCCAGGAGGGCTGCTTTGTTCTTTTAAAAAAGTTACAAAGCCAAGCGGTGCCTGGGCTCTAGGAGCTCTTGTGACACTCTTGGCAGGGACAGAGGGCTGGGTTTGGCAGGCTGCTCAAATACCAGGTCGCATAGTTACATCCTTGCACCATGGGACTTACCCCAGGAGCAGACTCCTGACTCAAGCTGAAACTGGGGCAGTTTTCGGTGGTGGGCAGGGCCCCAGCGCTGGCAGAGAAGTCTGTCTGGTGATTCTGCACTCATAACTGAAAGGCCCCACATATTCCTTTTCAGAAAGGCTACCAAACACTCGTCACATGGAGGAAATAAGTCCCTCCTTTCTGACGGTGTGCTCCAGTGATGCAGGAGGGCGACTTCCATTTTGCTCCAGTCTCAGATCAACTTTGTACCACCTGGCATATGTTCTTTGCTCTCTGGGAGGTCTGAAGTAACTGGGGTCCATCACCCCAGTGCATAAAAGCCACTGTGGTTCAGTGCCATGCTAGTGGTTCTAAAGACCGTTACCAAGTCACTGCAAAGTTCTCCTGCCTAGTTCCACACCCAGCCTGATTTCAGTCTCCCTGGCCTCTCAGTGATGTGCAGCTGAATCTAAGGTGCCACACAGGGGAGCAAGTCCCTGCTTCGACCCATCCCATGCTAAGACACAAGGCGGGTCAAGACTGATGAGCACAGGGATGCTTTGGAGTGACAGGAAAGTGACCCACAAGTGGAAATCCTCCTGCGCATTCTCGCTGGAGCTCCAGAACAGCCTGCTGGAGCTGTAGGGGTGACAGTGCAGGTAGGAGCTGGCGGGAGTTCACCGAACCATTCCCTGTGTGCCCCTGTGTCTCTCGGGCCCCACGTGTCACATGGCTTCTCCTCCTAAAGTGCCCCTCACTGGACTGTTATCTGGGACCTATAAGGAGTCACAGGCCCCCTCTGCTTCTCCTTTTGATCCTCCCTTCTCAGCCGGCTGGCTCTGGTTTGCTGGAAGCAGCCCCTAATTGCTATGGAGGGGGGAGGAGGAAAGAGCTGGGGTGGCCATCCTGAAGAGTGACAGGAGATCAAGGGCAGATCTGGCATTTCAAATTTGCTATCTTTATTTACTACTTTTCAGAAGCCGGCTGGTGACATGCGAGACTCACCAACTGACATGGCCACTATCTCCCGGGCTCTGAAGGGACACACTGCTATCAGTTGCTTTTAATAACCCCAAAGAGACCCTAGCTACATCCGGTTGGAATAGCCATGGTCTGTCTGTGAGTTCAGTAGCCTTTACAGGGAGCAGCCATGTCCTCCTAAACTGTACCTTTGGGATTAACAATTTCTGCCTTTCTCATGCATGTGCCCTCTTTGCTGAGACCCAATCAGGTCTCATCTCTCAGTACTTCTCTATGTTTTTTTCAGAACTCTATTGCTTCTCTGTGGAGCTAAGTATTGGGCTTTATTTTTATATAGAACTTCCTGGAAATAGCTTAGTTTAGGGACCTCCTTTATTTTCAGGTTAAAACGAAAGAATTCTGGTTACTTGTCTAATTTAAAATGTGTAAAGAATGTATTTCCAATTTCAGTGGCAAGAACATCACCCAAATTACAGCCATTTATTCACGATCTGTGATATTCTTCCTTGGTGTATATCTTTTTTTGTCTTTTTCATTTTTATCGGTACCAGGGATCGAACCCACGACTGCCTGGTTACAAGGCAGACGCTTATGCCGCTGAGCTAAATCCCCAGCCCCTTCCTTGGTATTTTTTATCCACTTGTCTCACACCATGCGAGCCTTGCCTTATGCAGCATTTGTGAAACTATGTATCTGATGTGCTAGTTGTAAGTTTAAAAGACAATATTATAATTTTGGGGTTTTTTTTTTGTCTTTTTGAGACAGGGGTCTATTATGTTGTTCAGGCTGGCTTTGGGTTCACTTTGTAGCCCAGGTTGGTCTTGAACTTGCAATGATCCTCCCACCTCAGCCTCCCGAGTGCTGGGATTATAGGTGTGCACCACTGTGCCCGGCAACAGTATTATAAATTAAAATATAAATATTAAAAAAGGAATATTCTATATCTGCTATCTAAAATTATTCCCTGTGCTACTATTAGCAGCTCCCATTTGTGAAACATTTATCTTGGGTATAGTTTTTTTCTTTTTTGAAAGACATTTCCATAGAGAATGTTATAGAAACAGACACACTACTATGTCAGCTTAACCAAAGAGGAAACCTTACTATGATCTGAACACCATAACTTTAGGAGATTAATGACTTTAGCATAGTTTAGAGCAAGGTAAAATAGTTCTCTGACTAAATGATGAACTTACATAAAACAGGTAGAAAATTATAATTATTACTCTATATTTTTAAAAGGTCACTTGAGTTCTTCAAATTGTGATTGGCTAACAATTCCATCTCAAATGATCACACCTGAGCATGGGCATGTGTGTGTTGTGTGTGAAACAGAGGATATTACTGTCCATTTGATTCAAGTATACAAATCTTACCCATCTTCTCCAACCTCACCTCCACATCTTCCATCGAGCTCCGCTGTGACCCACCATAATTCTATTAACTCTGTCCAGCTCGGACTCCTCTTTGGCTAACAGAGGAAATGTACCTTGGAAGGCTCACAGTTATGCTAATACATTTCCTAACCAACTGCATGATTACAGGACACACAAACTAGCAAAGTAAAATAGCAAGTCAGAACTCTCCAGTGGGGGTGTTGTAGCAATTTTCCCTTGATAATATTTACTACAAATGTTTTTGTTATGGTGAGTTGAAGCCTTAGGAAGAAGAGTTCTCAAATAGTTTGTGTTTTTAAGCAATTTCAAGCCAATACTTCCTGAGGACAAATCCAGTCCTCTGGGCACCAGCCCAAGTTCTCTAGCCTTCCGCAGGCACAGAATGAGAAGATTCCTGTTCAGCAAATTCCTTTTCTGGGTGTGATGGTAACGTCTGTCTCTTTAGCAGGCTGCCTGTGTCTCTGAAGCCAAGAGCCACAGATGTGCCCTAGCTCTTCATGAAAAGCAGGTCCTGCTAGGAGAGCAGCAGGAAGTTGACCTTATGCTGCTACTCAGCTTTCTGTTTTTCATTTATTATTATTATTATTATTTTTTTTGTACCAGGAATTGAACTCAGGACCTTGCACTTGTCAGGCAGGTGCTGCTTGGCTGAGCTACATCCCAGCACTACTTGGCCTTCTGATACCAATGTGAACACCCTAAAAGCACTTAGTCATTTCAGACCACTCACAGCACAGGTTAAATTTCCATGTTTTGTCTCATCAACTCACAAGTGGAAAGAAGTCGAGCATGCCGAGGGGCATCTGAGATCCGTAGGGGAATCCAGAAACAGCACCTCAGGGCTGGAAGGGATCTTGGAAGTTGGACAGTTCAAATCAAATCCCCCTTCCATAGGGGTTCCTCCAGGCCACAGAATCAAGTGTCAGAGTAAGGACTATAAATCTGGAGGCAAACAGTCTCCTTTCTTGAATGCAATGTGCCTAACGTTCTCTTTTTTCTTATCTGGCTGTGATAACACTGAAGCCTTCCACCCGCCTAGTGTCAGCCACCCAACGTGTGCTGTAGAGACCTGCATCCTTAAGCCCAGCCTCACAGGAGAATCAGGCAACAGGAGACCCAGGGTAAGGCCAGCTCAGGCAAGGTCAGGACTCCTTCCTCACAAACTCAGGCCGCCTGTGCATTGGGAGGTGCGATGCCTAGAAAGCTGACTAATCAGAGAGGAAGTGAGGCAGCCCCCTGGGGCCCGCTGCACTGGTAAAGAGCCCTTGGCAACAGCCAAAACAACAAGAAAAACTCCCCAAGCCTGGCCTGCCCCCGTCCTTGTAGGCCAAACCTGTGCTACACACAGCACCGGGGTGGGAAGCCACAGCGGCCCCCTCTGGAACCCAAAGGTAACCTGAGATCCACTCTCCCAACAGCACAACAGCATGGCCAGCATTTCTCAGCTGCTCAGTTCAGCCAAGCATAGGGGGGATGGGGGGACCAGCTTACCTGTCGGCGTCGCCCAGGCCCAGGGAGGTGTTTCGCTGCAGGGTCTCACGCACCACAGCCATCCCGTCTGGGAGCCGGTTCAGGCGACGCGTGTAGAGGCCGAGTCCCCCGTCGGTCATGTACCTGAGAGAAGAGGAGAGGGTGAGAACATGCATGGGCAAGAGCAGCTGCACAAGGCCCTGTCCCTCACATCCTGGAGCCCTGCACGGGCATCTTGGGCTCTGGGGGGAGGCACTGAGGTTTCCCCAAGGCTCTGCCACCAATCACAGCCCCAGGAAAACTGCATCACCCGGTACAACCTAGACTCATTTACCATCAGAGGCAACTAGTGTTCCTGTCCTGGGGAATGTCGAAGTCTGTGACATGTGGGAGGATCACAAAGAAGATGTCAAGATAAATATGAAAGCACTCTGCAATTCGTGTAATACTATATAAATCGTAGGCTTTTATTCTTTTTGGTGGTAGTGGTGGTAGTGGGAATTAAACCCAAGGCCTTTGCACCAAGAGTCACCCCCTCCTCTATTATTTATTATTTTTATTTTGAGGCAGGTTATTGTCAAGTTGCTGAGCTGCCCATGGTGTGCTCAAACTTGTGATCTTCCTGCCTCAGCCTCCCAGGGTGCTGAGATTATAGACATGTGACGCTACACCTGGCAAAAGACAGGCACTTTGTGGTTGTCACAGTCTGGAAGCAGCTACAGGGCTAAGTTTCACCTTTGGTGTCAGTATCTTAAGGGTTTGTTGCGAAAGTCTGTGAGCATCGTTAGATGAAATGGAAATGCTGTATTTACACAATGCGGTGCTACTCGGCCATAAAGAGATAAAGGTGAGTCAGTGGAGAAAAATGGATGCACCTTGAGACCGTCACGTTACATGAAATAAAGCAGACTCACAAGTTTAAACATCCCATGGTTTCTCGCTTATAAGACTCCAAAGTATAAATAAAGAACAAAATAAAAGGTAGGAAATAGGAAATAGGGAGACAGATTGTCCTCAGATGGGAAGGAGATTGGGAGACGGAGGAAGGGAGCAGGGGGAAGGAGACAAAAAAAGGAGGAAGATGTGTTACGTGCTGGCACCGGCTCCCTGTGATGAACGTAATCATGAACACAGACGTGCACTGCAAACACATACTAACAAAGTCATTCACAGCCCCTGAGCAACACTGATGCTAACATGCTCTTTCTCGGATCTCCTGGTGGTGCCCCAAAGCTGCCTTCCATGGACTTCTGGAACTATCCCTGAGAACCTAGCCCTCCAGAAGCCACTGCACCTCCTGTCTCCCCACCTCCTTCCCCGAATCTCCTAAAGGAGGCTGGCTGGGCTTCTATCCTTATCTCCCTAGGAGAATGGAGAAGTCAGCAAAGCACAGCTTGGGGTCGAGCTGGAAATCAAACTCAGGTTCTTTTAGTCGGTGCATGGCTCCCCTCAGATCCACCCGGCAAGGTATTCGGAAGCACCACATTTTATATCACAGGTCCAATGATACGCTGCAAAAAGCCTCAGTGTCACCATCTTCCCAACATAGTTGCAGAGCTAAGTCTCCAAGTGTTCGGGAGACTGTAGTTTCCTCCATCATGTCGGAGACTCCCTGGGGATATGTTCTTGGAAGAGCGGAGTCCTGAGAGGCTGTAAGGTTGCCAGCACCAGTGTGGCCAAGGAGAGGGTGAGCAGGAAAGCCCCACGGGGCCACCTTATGTGCAGGCAGTCAGGCTCAAGGGACCCTCCCTCCCAGCTGAGTGTCCCTGTGTCCCTAGTAGTGACCTTGGATGATGCAAGGCCAACATAATGAAGTGTCCTGGAAGTCAAAACAAAACAGTAGGGGAGACTGCATTCTTCACCCAGAGGTACCACTGCAAAACAAAAAAGCGCTCTATCTTAAAACTACGGAGTTGTACACTTTATTACTACTATTATTGTTATGATCATCATCACTATTATTCTTATTTGAAGAACCGAGAATTGAATCCGGGCCTTCACATACAACTATATAAATTTATTATTTGGAGACAGGATCTAAAATGCTAAGTTGCTCAAGCTGTTCTCAGTTGGACACCCTTCTGTCTCAGCCTCCCAGAGTGCTGAGATTATAGGCCTGCACCACCATACCAAGCTTGAATTGTACATTTTGAAAGGTTGAGTTTTAGGGCGGGGATGTGGCTCAGTGGCATAAGCACTTGCCTGGCAAGGTCATGAGTTCAATTCCCAGTATCTTGCTCCTCAAAAAAAAAGGGGGGAGGGAGGGTCTCCAGTAAAAATAAGGGTTTGATAATTATGAAACAATGAGTTTTATGGTATATAAATTATATCTCAATAAAAAGTAAAATATAAAAAATGCTGATTAAAACTATAGTTAGGCAATTAGCTGTACAATTGTATTTTAATGCTTTCTCTCACAGCTCCTGGAAAGCAGGAAGTACTCTTATTTTGTTCAAATCTACATCCCACAGCCACAGCTCACTCTCAGTGCTTATACTACTGTTCAAGTGGGATGAACGAACTCGTGATGAATGAAACATAATGACTTAGTCACCGGGCAAGGAACTTGCTGTGAGGATGGTGATTACAGTGCTTTCTCCCCTTAAATGTTGGCAAACTTGACAAACGAGACACACAGCAATTCCAGGCTTTGGGCGCACACCTATAATCTCAGCACTCCAGAGGCTGAGGCAGGAAGACTTGTGAATTTGAGACCAGCCTGGGCTACATGGTGAGTCAAGGACAATGAGCTACACAGAGAAATCCTGTCTCTAGAGAAAGACAGAGCCAGGGATTTAGTTCAGTGGTGCAAGCACTTACCTGGCAAGTGCAAGGTTGTGAGCTTGATCCTCGTAACCAGAAAGAAAGAAAGAAAGAGACAGAGAGAGTGCAAGGCAAGCCTAACACCGGGTCCATCATGCATTCATCTTCCCATCTGTTTGTCAAGCATCCTCCTACCCTCCTCAACAGATGTAGTGACTAAGGTACACCAGTGACCTCCCACATCCACCCCATGGCTAGCACAGAGAGAGGAAGCAAAAACAAACAAAAAATAACAAAAGCTCTCCCCTGAAATGCAGTGTTTCTGCCAGAGGTTGGACTCTTGAGATCAAACATCCTCTCCAAGAGAACACAAATTTTTCAGAACACAGTCTCACAGACCATTAGGCAAGGCAGTTACATTTTGACTTTAGCAAAATCTGCCCAGCTGATTTGATAAACAAAAGTTTTTCAACTGGGGCAATCTTGTCAAAGAACAAACAAACTAATTATTTCCCTGCACTCATTTCCCTGCTGGTTTTTTTATTGCTGGGGGAACAACACGCTCGGCTGGGCAATTACATGCACCTGAGCACGGAGTGTGCCAATGGACACCAGCCCGGCTCTCTGCCAGGGCCCTGGAGAGAGTCCGGTGGCTCAGAGATCAATGCCAGATTCCACACCCTGGGCCCAGCCACACCCAGGTGCAATGTGGTGTGGCTGAAAAATGGCACCCAGTGGGGCAGGAGAGCCCTGGGTGGGTCCAAATCTGCTGCTGGGGACTCTGACTGTGGCAGAGAAGAGGGAAAGGCAAAGTGGACACCATGTCTTCCACCTTCTCCAATGGGCCAGGGAGCTTGCTGCAGCTACGCTGACAGTGATCTGATTCCATCTGGAAGTAAATTTCTTCTTGGCATGGGTCTGGGAGAGAAGCAGAGAGGCCAGGAAAAGGAGGTATTTACCTGTTCACTCAGATAGTTATAAAAATATATTCACATACACGCACACATTTTTATACTTATGTGTATCAGGAATCAAACTCAGGACCTTGTGCTTGCCAAGCAGGTGCTGTGCTGCTGAGCTATAGTCCTGGACCTTATTTTAAAAAAAATTTTTAGAGACAGTGTCTTCAGTAGTTCAGGTTGGTCTTGAACTCACCGCAAGCTAGCTTCAAATTCAAGCAATCCTCCTGCCTCAGCCTCCCGAGTACTGGAATCCTAGCCATGCACCACCATACCTAACCATCATATTTTCACACAATGTTCTTTCAGATCAATTCTATGTATGTCTCTCCCTAAGAGATAGGGCAGCATTGGAGACAGCTGCTATTGGAACCTGCTTCATCTTCAAGAATCCAATTTTAAAATATTTATTTATTTTTAAATTAGTACCTACCAGCGCCCAGTTTGTACTTTTAAGTCACTCTTCTAGTCTCGGTGAAAAGTAAGTTTTTGTTGGAACTAAATTTGGACAGGAATTGGTTACTGAACCGTGGGTATAGACTGCCCAAAGACATGAATCCCCGAAGAAAGCAAAGTGTCAGCTTCACACTGGGCAGACAAGAAATGACTTGTCCTGAGGTCACAGCAAAGGAACCAGCCCATCCAGGATTAGTCCCTGAGCTCCAGCGCCACACCCTCTTGCTCCTTGAGGAGAGAAATAATTAGCACCGATGCCTGCCTGCGGAGCACTGGTAACATCCTAGTGTTTGCCGTGCGGGTTCCTGCCCTGTACGAGGCCCACATTATCCCCAAGTTCTGCTAGGATGGTGGTGGAGGCCCTGCTTCTGTTGCAAGCAGCTGAGGTGATTACAAATATTATAGGCAGTGAGACAGGGCTAGGTCCTCAAAGGAGCCAGTGCAGAAGCCCAGATACATTGCAACTATGGGGGAGACAGATACCTCCTGCTGTGGGCCAGGCCTCAAGACAAAAGATGAAACAAATGCATCCACATCCTAAGGACTGATATTCTAAATAGTTCCCCATCACCCTGAGGAAGCCAGGAGCCATTCCAACCCCTTAGGGAAGAGTCACTGCTCTCTAAGAATGTCTGCTTTCTATGTGACTGGCTCCCCCATTTGTTCCAAATGTAATCAATTTCACCTAAACTATTAATCTTTTGGCTAACTATAGTTATGTCCCACCTTATGCCCATTTGCCTTGTGAGTTCCCAGTTTATCCCACCTTGAACCTGTCTCATCCCATTATTTTACTCTATAAAAGACCCTGTAAAGGACAGAGTCCCTAGCAACCCGCTAGGACCTCTTCTGTCTCTCTCTCACACAGACGCTTTCTTTCTCTCAATAAATTTATTCTGCTTTTAACCTCCGCTGTTCCTAAAATTCAATCTTTGATTTTAGAGAACACAAACTCATAGTGGTTGT